AGCGAAGTAAAGAATTACACAGTTTGAGATAAGTAACTCTTCTAAACTTTGTGTTGAGGGTATGAAACCCCGAACGTATTTTGTGATTTGTATTGTCATGCCCCGAGCCTGGGGGCGAGACCAGCACCCGGTGCCTCACCTATCCTTGTGTACCACTTGTGATTAAGAGACTCTGAACATGTAATATCATACTTTGTCCATGGGTGACATTACAAGATAATGTGCGAGGCAAAATATAAAACTGAGTAGAGACTAACACTGACTAAATGTTAACATAAATCTGGGCCGGCAAGGCCGTCATAACTACTACAACTGACAAGCGAACAAAACATACATACAAGGCCTACAAGCCCAACATACTGCACTAACTGACAGGATATGTCTACAAGCCTCTAATGATGGGTGTATTGTAATCGGAAGAGGGCCCCGACCTGCCCATAGTATACACAAGATGTATACAAAACATCTAGACCCGGCAACTCCAAAGGACGTGAAGCTTACCGATAAACCTGAACTCGGGCAACACCTACTAAGGAGGTCTACCCGTCTGTCTGTCTGAACCTGCACGCATAAAATGCAGTGCCCCCAGAAAAAAAGAACGTCAGTACGAAATAATGTACTGAGTATGCAAGGAATTAATATAGCTAAAAGCTGAAACTAAAGTGATAATATAAAAACTAGGAGTCAAAGATAATTTATACATGTGCTCACCTGCTGATACTGACCCAATTCTCTCAATATAGTATGTAAAATAGTTGTCCGGACTTATAAGGCTCGGTATATATATATATATATAACTGCTCTGCCATAGTAGGCTCGCTCATAGGTGTTCGGCCATACTAGGCTCTGTATCTCGACCAATTGGGTTCGCTCATAGGCGCTCGACCATAGTAGGCTCAGTATATAGCTTACCATCTGATCAGAGGTTGCCCGATAGGGGCCTACTCATCGATTATAGCTCGATAGTAGTGAAAATACTGTAATACTGTATATATAGACTCTCTGCTCTCTTGACTAGAAGAAGACCATACTCAACTGAATATGAAGTCCCAATAAGGGAGAATACTGTAACTTATGAGACTAGGATAATGTATATAAATTCGGGAGTATGAACTTCTCTTTATATCTCGTTATCAAACACATGTAGTTACTGGATCATGCTAAAATGAAGGAATGCCTTAGTCTTAACATACCTGGAGTAGGGGAAAATCCGTATGATGTTTTTGGAAAAGATTACACTGTACTCCTTTAGAACCGCGAAATTTCACGTTGCTATTGTGCTAAGAAATCTCGTTGGTTGAGAAAATTACGTTGTAGTGTCTTTGTATGAACTTGTAGAATTTGTAAGAAATTATATTGCTAATGTGCTAAAGTTCACATTGTTGATTATCGTGTTGTGTAAGGAATTTAGTAATCTGATTGTAGTGGTTGAGAATGAAATTGTTTTTGTAAAAATCCTAGAAATGAAGTGTCTTGAAATCAATATATTAGGTTGCCACCTAATCACAAATGACCAAGAGTCATTTGTTTGGTTAGTGCCTTGCTACCATGTGGGGGTTTGGGGGGGGAGGGGGTGATTTTAATCTTTATCCAAATTATTAGTTAATTAGGTAATGTTTCGTTGATCGGTAATTAACCAATTACCCGCATAATTAAGAATTATCTCAAATTACATAAATATCTACTTATTTTTAATATACTTTATACATCATACTATCATGGTCATATGGTACCTTGTATGATACTAGTCCATAAATATCAAGTATTATCGCTCGACTCGTATTTTATCCCAAATCGACAACCTTCAGCGAAACACATTTATCCTCCCCCTCAGACCATCAACATTAGGAACACATAGTCGACCCTGGAGTCGCAAAAAACCATCCTCGCCAATAGAAACCTCCTTGGAACCTCCCTGTAGCACTGTCTCTCTGAGAACCTCCAAATATCGATCATTGAACTGTCGGGACTTGATCTGCCCCAATAATAAAGACTGAGCAACTACACACGCAAGAACTCGGCTGGGCTCTGAAATATCCAACCTCACAAGTATGTTAGCCAAGGACTAAATGTCCAAAGCTAGAGGCATCTCCTCTGCTAGAATGAATGCCAAGCTACCCATACTCTCTACTTTTCTGCTTAAGGCATCCGCGACCACATTTGCCTTGCCCGGGTGATAAAGAATGGTGATGTCATAATCCTTCAGTAATTCAAGCCATCTACGCTGCCTCAAGAGATCCCTCTGCTTGAACAAATACTATAAGTTGCGGTAATTAGTATAAACCTCACATGACACCCCATACAGATAATGCCTCTATATCTCAAGAGCATGAACAATCGCGGCCAACTCAAAATCGTGCACATGATAATTCTTCTCATGAATCTTCAACTGACGCAAAGCATATGCAATAACTCGCCCTTCATGCATCAATACACATCCCAATACAACACGTGAAGCATCGCAATATATCGTATACATCCCCGAACCGGAAGGTAACACAAGAACTGGTGTTGTAAACAAAGCTGTCTTGAGCTCTTGAAAGCTTGCCTCACAATCATCGAACCAACGAAAAAGGAGCACCCCTCTGGGTCAATCTAGTCAGAGGTGATGTAATAGATGAAAATCCTTGCACGAATCGCTTGTAATAACCTACTAACCCTAGGAAACCCCTGATCTCGGTCATTGAAGTAGGACGTGGCCAACTCTAGAATGCCTCAATCTTCTTGGGATCCACCTTAATACCCTCTCCTGACACAACATGCCCCAATAATGCCACTGACTCTAGCCAAAACTCACACTTGGAGAACTTAGCATATAGCTTTTGCTCTCGCAAGGTCTGAAGCACTACTCTCAAATGTTGCTCGTGCTCCCCCCAGGCTACGTGAGTATATTAAGATGTCGTCAATGAAGACGATGACAAAGGAATCAATATAAGGTCTGAACACCCTGTTCATCAAGTCCATGAATGCTTTTGGGGCATTAGTCAAGCCAAAGGACATCACCAGAAACTCATAATGGCTATATCTCATCCGGAATGCAGTTTTCGGAATATCCGAGTCCCGAATCTTCAACTAATGATACCCTGACCTCAAGTCGATCTTAGAGAACACCCTAGCACTCTACAACTGGTCAAACAAATCATCGATACGAGGCAACGGATACTTGTTGTTGATGGTGACTTTGTTTAACTGGAGGTAATCAATGCATATCCGCATAGTCGTATCCTTCTTTTTCACAAATAACACTGGTGCACCCCAAGGTGATACACTGGGTCTAACAAACCCCTTTGCTAAAGCTGCTCTTTCAACTCTTTTGGAGCCATACGGTATGGTGAAATAGATATAGGCTGGGTGCCTGGAGCCAAATCAATATAGAAATCAATATCGCGATTCGGTGGCATGCCAAGAAGATCAGAAGGAAACGCATCGGTGAACTCTCAAACTACTGGAACTGAATCAATCGTTGGAGACTCTACGGTGGTGTCCCAAACATAAGCTAGATAAGCCAAACACCCCTTCTCGACCATATCTGTGGAACCCTTCCACTCCAACCTTGACAACCCTGGCATTGCTAATGTAACAGTCTTGGCATGTCAATCTAGGACGGCATGATATGGAGATAACCAATCCATGCCCAGGATGATCTCAAAGTCGATCATATCAAGCAACAAGAGATCTGCTCTAGTCTTGAAACCACGGAATATGACCACACCAAAATGGTAGATCTGATCCATAAGCACAGAATCACCCACAGGAGTGAACACATGAATAGGAGTGCCCAAAGGCTCAAGAGAAATAACTAGGAAACGAGCAAACAGAGATGATACATATGAATAGGTAGACCCTAGATCAAATAGTACTGAAGCATCTCTACCGCAGATGAAAATAATACCTGTGATAACAGCATTTGAGGCCAATGCATCTGGCCTAGCCAGAAGGGCATAGAATATGGTTGGAGCGCCGACTGTATGGCCTCCACCTGACTGAGCAGTAGCTGGCTGAACTCTCCCTGTCTGGCCTCCACCTCTAGGATGGCCTCTACCAGTCTGCCCCTACCTCTAGACGGCTGGGCAACCGATGCTGAAATCATGGGCTATTGACCCTACGGTACTGCCTTGCCCCGAAGCCTGGGGCAGTATCTCCTTATATGACCAAGGTCTCCGCACTCAAAACAACCCCACGATGTGACGACCTGCTGCCATGATGGCTGACCCTGATGGCCTGTAGACCCGCTGGAAGTAGCCTGGATAGCCGGTGGACGATATGAACTCTCCGGCATAGCACTGAAATAGGAACCAGAAGAACCCTGGGGACCTGAATACCCACTAGAGGAACCCTGAATAGCTAGTGGGTGATAAGAACTCTCTAGCATGGCGCTGAAATAGGAGCGCAATAGAGCACCCCGAGTAGGTGGTGGTGCTGAATATGGGGGTCTGCTAAGCTGACCCCTCCCAAACTGACCTCTACCCCTAGTCGGGGAACCTCTGAACTCTCCGGAGAATCTAGCCTTCTTATCCTGCTGCGTCTTCTCCCTACCCCTCAGACGGTAGCCCTCAATCCTCCGAGCAATCTCCACTACTGACTGATAAGGAGTCCCCATCTCCACCTCTCGGGACATGTTGGCCTTGATGCCATAATGAAACCCTGCAAGGAACCTCTACACCCTCTCTGCATCAGTAGGAAGTATCATAAGTGCATGGCAAGACAACTCATAAAACCTCACCTCATAATCGGTCACGGACATCTGACCCTACTGAAGCTGCTCAAACTGATACCACAGCTCTTCCCTCTCAGAAGGTGGAATATACCTGTCCAAGAATAACTGTGTGAACTGACCTCAAGTGATGGGAGGAGAACCTGCTGGCCTGCCAAGAACATACTACTGCCACCATCCACGGGCTCTGTCCTTCAACTGAAAAGTAGTGAAGTCAACCCCATGCGACTCCAATATTATCATGTTGTGCAGTCTGTCCCTGCACCTATTAATGAAATCCTGGGCATCCTCATGACGCTCAGCCCCGAAGATAGGAGGGTGAAGTCTAGTTCATCTATCCAATAACTTCTGCGAGTCACCATCCACAACTGGTCTAGGCTGGGGCACCACTACAGCAACTGGCCGAGCCCCATCCGCAGGTAGTGCACCCGGAGTCTGATACACTGTAGTTGTATGACCAAGAGCCTGAGCAGTAGGGGTCTGTGCTCCCTCTCCTGCCTGTGATGTAGTTGGATCCGCTGGAAATAAACCAGCCTGAGTCATGGTGTCCATGAACCGCAGCATACGGCCCATGACCTCTTGGAAACCTGGTGCTATCATAAAGTCCGCCGAGGTAGGCTCAGCTGCGAGCACCTCGCCCTGCTCTTCAATAATAGTATCTCCCGCAAGATCTACTGGTGGTGCTACTGGGACAGCTCTGGGACTCCCTCGTCCCCTACCTCGGGTCGGTACCCTCCTCAGGCCTCTGGCTTGGCCTCTAGCAACGGGGGAAGCAGCTCCTCCAGGGTCTGGAACATTAGCCGTGCGTGTCCACACCATCTGTGAGATAATACAAGAGGGAAATTTAGTATACCAACCACTGCATGATACGAAATGAATAAAGAATAGTTTCTTAACACCCTATAGCCTCTCGAAGATAAATACAGACGTCTCTGTACCGATCCGCAAGACTCTATTAGGTTCGACCATGACTTGTGAGACCTACGTGAACCTAGTACTCTGATACCATGATGTCATGACCCATTTCCATAATAGGTTATGATGGATCCCAACACCATTGTCAGGAAAGCCAACGTAGAAATATAAATAAGTTCTCACTTTACTTTACCAAAAACAAGTACTACAATTTCTAAACTGGAGGTTAAAACAAGTGATAATCAGTAATGTACCCAAAATAATTATATAGTTCCCAAAAGAATAGTCTATTAATGTGTGTGCCAAGACTTGGTATCACAAGTTGTGGGCAACTAGTAGAATATACAAAAGAATAAATCTATCCTATTTCTGAAATAGAATAGACAACCAAAATAAAGAGACTCTATCAGGCTGCAGAACGGCGCGGGAAGGGAGCAGCTCACCGTGGAAGTCTCGGACTATGATCAGGGATGCGCACCAGACTGATAACCAGATGTACCTGCCTCAGATCCTGTACAATTAAGTAAAGAAGCGTAGTATGAGTACACAAATAATATGTACCCAGTAAGTATCTCGTCTAATCTCGAAGAAGTATAAATGAGAGGTCGATTTGATACTTACTAGGGTCAAATAATATAATAAAGTGTTATGCTAAGCATGGAAGTCACAAGTAATTGTCACACCTCTTTTTTTACCTACACCCCGGAAGGGGCATATAGGGAGTTTTTCCAATTTAAGTGATAATCGAAACGGGATTATTTATTTATTAAATTCAGAGTCGCCAGTTGGGATAATTTTATGGTGTCCCAAGTCACCGGTTCAAATCCCGAATCGAGGAAAAGATTGACTCTGTTTAACAATCCGCGCACCAGAAATCTGGGTAAGGAATTCTGTTAACCCATGAGAAGGTGTTAGGCATTCCCGAGTTCCGTGATTCTAGCACGGTCCCTCAACTGTTATATTTGGCTCAATTATTTGATTTTAAAAACACTTTTAGACCTATGTGCATTTTAGCTTTAAACTGCTTTTAATTATTTTAAGGAAGATTTCAACGTCATCTAAAACACGTCTTTGGACCACGCCACATGAAATGCACCCGCAGTCCGAGACACATTTTATTTAACGTTGCGATTTGGATTTGGATCACATAAATGCACACACGAGTTTAAGGAAGTTAAATTAAATTACGCGCTTAAAGCAACTACGCACTTTCAAGTTTGCGAGGGCCATGGAAAATTCAACTAAATGGCACACCTCGATTTCTAAAGGATTAAAATTAATTAAGTGAGGGCCATGAATTTAGGGGTTTTATTTGGCATGGCACGCCTCAAATTATTTCAAAAGGTTTTATTATTCGAAATTGTTATAAACGGGTTACATAAAATGCACCCCCGAATTTGGAATTAGACTTCGTAACTATGTTACGGGAACCTAAAAGTTTGCCTACCCGCGCGATGATAGCCTAAGCATGCTCTTACCCAATTAGAACAATAAAATAAATAGTGAACATGTAGCTCTCAAATTGCAATCATGTTTTTCTAAAATCCCAACTCCACAACACATTTCAATCATTAATAAACATATATGTTGCATCTAAACGTTAGAGAACAACATAACACTGCCTGAAGGAAAGCAAATTAACCAACAAACAAAATAAGGCATTTAGATATCTAACTATTTTACTTTTTAAAAAATCTAAATCTTAATTTTTTTGTTCATTCCTGCTTGTGGAAGTGGGCTCCGAATCACCTGATTTAAACTAGAGATTTTTCTAGCAAATGAATTTGACCAACTAGTGGTCGAATTCACGGGCTAAACTGAATCTGGAATACCACTCAATGCATGATTAAAACAATTACTAAACTAAAAAAAATATGGGAACAAATTTCCAATTCTAATGACAAATGACTTCAGGTCAAGTATGACAATATGACCTCACTGAATTTATTACAAAGCAACATACCAACAAATAAAACAAACATCAGCAACACAAATATAGAATGAAAAAACTGAATCGAGTATAGTATGACAAAATATATCAGATTTCATTTATTAACTTGTGTAGACAGATATAAGGAGATCATAGAACTTACTAGATGTTTTAAAGGAAAACAGCATAACCAAATAGGAGTTGAAGCCAGAGAAATTGATGGAATCGGCTAATTTGCGGTAAGCAGCAAGGCAAACCAAACCAAAATTTGAAGCTAAGAAGCGGAAAATCAGCACGTTTAAAGCTCCGCAAACACCCCAGCGAACAACAGCAAATCGGAAAGCAAAAATCAATTTTGTGCATGTGTGTTAGCTCCTTATTTCCATTCTCTTCACAGTGAGAGAGAGATTCAAAATTGAAGGGGAGCAGGGAACTGATGCAGCTGCCTCCTTCTTCAGATAAATCAAAGAGAGCCCCCTTTTTAGATCCGTCGTTTTTCTCTATATTAGTCTAGGGATCTCCCTCTCTATTTAGTCATTAGGTACTATTATATAGGGGTAGGGATTAGGTTAGGGGTATGGGCTTTGGAATTATGGGCTAGGTTCAAAATTAGGCCTAAAAATGGGTTACTCGAGCCCAAGTTTTATTCTTTCCTAGCGAACGAGATTAAAATGCGACCTCTTTTATTAATCAGTCCTACTTAAATAAAATAACTGTTAAAATAAGACTGACCATTATAATAAAATTATTTTTTTGTATTTTCAATATATCATACTAAAAGATGGAAAAATTATTATAAAATTAAGATAATATTCCTAGTATTATTTTTGTATTTTTGAATATAGTAGACAAATTAAAAGTAACTAGATAAAAATATTAACTAGCTAAATAAGAGAAAATATTTTTTTGTAATTTTTATTTTTCTGTGATAAAATAAAGCAAATAGAGTCAAAATTAGTTGAAATAACTATATTAGGCCTAAACTAAATATTTACACGCTAAAATATATAAAATCTTGGGGAGGGTCAAAAAATCACATGTCTACAGTAATTAACAGTTTGTAGAAAGAAATAATAAGTCATGTCCTTAATAATATCACAATTAGCCGTTTACATTTCAAAACATTTAACAAAGCAAGTCATGAATAAGGTTTCACATAGATATCATGCGCACATTATGTCGAGCTTGACAGCCCGATCCAACAGAAAAGAAACTGTGCACTCTCAGAGGGTCGAATGGTGCGAACCATAGATGCATCTATTTCTACTGAGGCGATCGGCCCGATCCACAAATATCAATTATCATCAGGAAAAACACATGAAAGCGCATTTATATTCAAATAAATTCATACAAGTGTTCAACAAGTACATACGTTCACTTATATTCATTTCAAATTCTCTAGCATATCCTAAGTGATCACATTAGCAAGAAAATATATAAACATTCACAAATATTGCATGATACGGGTCCTAAACTACCCGGACAATTAACATAATAGTAGCTACGCACGGACCCTCATCACCTAGTGCTTACGTAGCCCTCGTATTTAGTGGCAAATTATTCAATTATTACACCTATGGATTGATTCCCTCTTACAAGGTTAGAAAGGAGACTTACCTCACTCCAAAGTGTACTTCCAATACCAAGAGCGAGCCCGAACTCTCAATTTAGAGTCGAACGATCCAAAACTAGTTAAATGAGGTAGGAACTAGTGAATACAAGCTCACAAGATTGCATTCTAACTATTTAAGTAATTTCCCAAAATTAAAAACAAGTTTCCTAAAATCCGACATTGGGCCCACATGCCCGGATTCCGAAATTTTTCGAAGAAAATTGTTCTTTATAACCTAAGGGTCAATAATATATGATTTCTAATTCATTTCATAACAAATTTCGTGGTTGAATCTAACTTTTTATCAAAACTCTAGGTTTTGCTCTAACAACATGATTTTATCTTAACCCTTGTGTGTTAATCTACCTAAGACTAAAGTATTAAACTAGAAATAGGTAGGATAAACTTACCTCAAGATGCTAGGTGAAAGTCCTCTCACAAGAGCTCCAAAATCGCCCAATGGGTGAGTGAAAAGTGGCCAAAATGGCTTAGAGCCCGTATTAAATGAAGCTCACTACTCCAGTGATTTCCGCATCTGTGGTCCCGCTTCTGCAAGAGGAAGGTCGCATCTGCGGAATTAACCAAGCGAGTTGGGACTGCTTCTGCGGTCTTGAAGCCGCTTCTGCGAATTGGCTTGGCCTGCCTTGGCCGCATCTACGAGAGGGCGACCGCTTCTGCAGTCTCGCACCTGTGGCTGGCCAACCGCAGGTGCGGTTATGACAGCAACCTGAAGCCTCATCCCTTCCCAAATTTTCTGACTTCACTCGAGCCTTGTCCGATTGACGCTCGGGGCTCCCGGGCCCCGCCCGAACATACCAATAAGTTTGAAATCATGAAAAGGACCCACTCGAACTTTGAGAACGCTCGAAACAATGCTAAATCTAAGAATCGCCCCCTAGAACCAATTGAATCAAACTTATGAACTTCAAGTTCTTCAATCCACTTCTAACGTGTCGAAACGTACTTATACTATTCGGATTGACACCAAATTTTGCGGGCAAGTCTTAAATGTTATATTGGACCTGTATCGGGCTTCGAAACCAACATACGGGCCCGATACCAACATGATCAATCATTAGTTAATTTCTTTAAATCCTTAGAATTTCAGTTTAATAATTTCTAATAAAAGTTCATTACTCGGGCTAGAGACCTCGGAATTCGATTCTGGGCATATGCCCAGGTCCCATATTTTTCTACGGACCCTCTGGGACCGTCAAAATACAAATCCGGGTCCGTTTGTTAAAAATATTGACTTGGTCAAACTTAGCCTTTTAAGAAAATCCTAAGGAATCAAATGAGCCTATTTCAACCCAAACTCTTCCAAATCCCGAACCAACCATCTCCACAGGTCATAAATTAGTTCAAGCAAGCATGAGAAGTTTTATTTAGGGGGACGGGGTTCTAAGAAGTAAAACGACCAGTCGGGTCGCTACATCTCTAGGACGGCCTCCTGCCGGCTGGCCTCCACCTCTAGCGACCTTACCTCCACCTCTAATACCTCTACCTCCACCTCTAGCACCTCTACCTCCACCTCTAGCTGGCTGATCGGGCTGGTGGAACACTCAGTGCCTGAACCATGGCATGGGAACCCTGATGTTGAGAGTTGTTCGGTGCTCGAGCGCAAAATCTAGTAATATGCCTCGTATCGCCTCAAGTATAATAAGTCCTCGGCTGCTGAGACTGCTGGCCCTGACGGCCTGGATGACCACCTTGAAAACTCTGGAGCGGCTATGCACTGATAGGAGCTGGTGGTTCACTGGGCAACTGATCAGAATACTGCATATGAGAACCACGGCCACTTGGTGCACCGTGAGAAGCCTGAAGTGCTGAATGAAACGGGTTGGAAGGATGGCCCCTACAAAAAGAATCCCTGCCTCCATATAAGGCATCACTGAACCTTCCCAAATGATAAGGCCTCTTGTCAAACCCCTGACCACTCTCCTA